TAATACACACTGATTTGTGTGGACCAATGAGCTCAACCACAAGAAATGGATAACGATATTTTATAACCTTCACAAATGACTATGGTAGATATGGTTATGTCTATCTAATGTCACATAAATCTGAATCATTTGAAAAGTTCAAAGATTTTCAGAGTGAAGTTGAAAATCAGCTTGGCAAGAAAATCAAAGCCCTTCGATCGGATCGAGGTGGTGAATACTTGAGCCAAGAATTCGAGGACCATCTAAAAGAAAAAGGTATACTTTAAGAATTGACACCTCCAGGAACTCCTCAAAGGAACGGAGTATCTAAACGGAGAAATTGAACCTTATTGGACATGGTACGATCAACAATGGGTCTTAGTGATCTTCCTATCTCTTTCTGGGGACTAGCACTTCTAACTACGGCACTAACACTGAACCTTGCACCATCAAAAGCTGTAGAAAAGAATTCATATGAATTATGGACAAAGAAACCTCCTAGGTTGTCTAATCTAAAGATATGGGGATGCGAAGCATATGTCAAGAAATTGATTTCTTATAAACATCATCCTAAATCTAACAAGTTTTATTTGTGGGCTACCCAAAAGAAACCAAAGGGTATTACTTCTACAACAAATCGGAGAACAAAGTGTTTGTTGCTCGCGATGGTGTCTTTTTGGAGAAGGAACACCTTTCCAAAATGATAAGTGGGAGGAAAATCGAATTCAGAGAAGTTCGTGAGGATGAGCAACAAAATCAGAATGACAATCAAAGTGCTCAAACAGCATCTGTTGGCGCAAGTCAAATGATCAAAATTTGCAAAGTTAAATCGACAATGTAAATGCTCAATCCATTACCCTACGTAGGTCTAAGAGGCCGAGATCTCAACCTGATAGATATCTTGGTTTAGTATTAACCGAGATTTCAAAGAACGTCCTAATTATGGATGGAGATGAACCGGTAACCTACAAGCAAGCGATGGCAGGCACCGAGTCTGCTAAATGGCATCAGGGCAAGTGTTTTGAAATACATTCCATGTTTGAAAATAAAGTCTGGGACTTGGTTGACTTACCTGAAGGTTACACACCTATCGGATGTAAGTGGATTTTCAAGATGAAAACTGACAAAGATGGAAATGTATTCATTTACAAAGCTAGATTGTTGGCAAAAGGTTATAGACAAGTTCATGGTATTGATTACAATGAAACCTTTTCACCAGTCACAATGCTTAAATTCGTTCGGATCCTCTTAGCGATTGCTGCATATTATAATTATGAAATATGGCAGATGGACGTCAAAACCGCCTTCTTAAATGGTATTTTGGAAGAAACTGTGTACATGACACAACCAGAAGGTTTTATCGATGAAAACAATGTTGCGAAGGTTTGTAAGCTTAAGAAGTCCATTTATGGACTAAAGCAAGCTAGCAGAAGTTGGAATCTGCGATTCATTGAAGCCATCGGTAATTTTTATTTTATCAAGAATCCAGATGAATCTTGTGTTTATAAGTAGGTCAGTGGGAGTGACATCGCCTTCTTAGTCTTATATGTCGATGGCATATTGCTCTTTAGAAACATCATTTCTTTGTTAGAATCTGTAAAGGCCTGGCTTGGAAAATGTTTCTCAATGAAAGACTTAGGAGAGGCTCAGTACATACTAGGCATCAAGATCTATAGGGATAGATAAAAAAGGATGATTGGATTGAGTCAAAGTACTTATATTGATAAGGTATTTGCTCGTTTTGGCATGGAAGGGGCCAAGAGAGGTCACCTGCCAATGTCACATGGCATAACCCTGAGCAAGAAGCAGTGTCCATAGACACCTGATGAGCGGGAAAGAATGAATCTGATTCCATATGTTTCGCTTATTGGATCAATCATGTATGCCATGATATGTACTAGGCCAGATGTATCGTATGCCTTGAGTGCTACGAGCCGTTACCAATCAGATCCAGGAGAGGCCCATTGGACTGCGGCCAAGAATATCCTAAAGTACATGAAAAGGAACAAGGATAAATTCCTGGTATATGCTGGTTCAGAAGAATTAGTTGTTAAAGGTTATACCGATGCAAGATTCCAGAAAAGCAGAGACGATTTCAAATCGCAATCTGGACATGTGTTCTGTCTAAATGGAGGAGCATTTAGTTGGAATAGTGCCAAGCATAGTACAACTGCAGATTCTACAACTGAAGCTGAGTACTTAGAAGCTGTTGAAGCGGCTAAGGAGGCTGTTTGGATTAATAAGTTCATTGGTGAACTTGATGTTGTACCCTCTATAAAGGGTCCAATAGCCCTCTATTGTGACAACAATGGAGCTATTGATCAGGCCAGAGAGCCAAGGGAACATCAGAAAGTCAAACATGTCAAACCGGGGTTTTACATGATTCGAGAATGGAAATTAGAAGGTGAAATCAGAATTTGCAAAGTTGGAACGGATGATAACATAGCCAATCCACATACTAAACCTTTGCCTCAAGTGAAGCACAACAAGCACTTTGAAGCAATGGGAATCAGGCATGTAGGAGATTGGCTTTGATTTCCCTGTTTAGTGTTTAAGTTAAATTTTTGAACATTTAATGTAAGACACTAAGAAAAATCATTCAAGTTTTTAGGTATTATAAATTTCATGCAATATTTTATTACTCCGTTTTCTATTTAATTGTGGTTTAGGATTAAATAATGAGTCCATTCGAATCTTGGAATATTCAAAATAGGGTATCAAGACCAGTCTTGATAAGGAAACACCTATTAAGTGAGCATTGAATATTATAATCGAAAATTGTCCCTAATCGAGGTCATTTAAACGATGAACGATTAATGACCAATTGAGATTAGTGTGTAGTTTGATTTATAGCACTGTTTCTTTTGTTACTAGGATATGATTGTCTTAAATCATTTGCACATGTATTGGTTTAGAACCGTACTGGATCGACCTATGAGAATACTTTAAGAGATTAAAAATCGTCATAAGTATACTTCTCATTATGGCTATCGAAACCTATTTCATTGACCATGAGTATTGTGAGTTCTCTTGTTTGAGTACTAGACCGTTTTGATGTTGTCAAACGTCTGCCGTAATAGGGGATCATAATGGCAACACTCGGGCGGCTAGGTACTCTCAGTAAGAGGAGCTACATTACAAGACTGGGAATCTCCCCATATTAAGAAAGAGAAGGTGTATTTGTTGTACACAAGGCCTCCCGTAAAGCGAGATTGTAAAAAGCATGGCTGTGCTCGGATGGATTTTAGAAATCATTTGTTTATTGACAGTCGAACTTGGAATCGTGGACGTAATAAGGATGAAATAATAATCTTACCTTATAGTTCATGAAGAGACATTAAGCGACATAGGAAAAAGGGTATACACTAAATACGCACTTTTCCAGAAGGACAAGTGGGAGATTGAAAGGAATGGTGTCCTTCGAACAAGTGTATTATTCTGATAGCGGGTTAAGAATTATTAGAAAGCTAATATATTCAGCAAGGTCAAGTGATCGGAATGCCTGGGTGGAGGCCGCTTCCGATCAGGAATATTAATGTATAATTTATATTACAACTTAATCTTGACTGAACCCTTCGGGTCACACCCTTGCAAATATACGAACCGACTCGACGAATTAATTCGGAAAAAATTAATTCGTTGCCCGAGTATTAAATATTTAGACGTCGGAAATTTAAGCTTGGAGCGTCGAAATCGAACGTCGGAAGTTAAGGCAAAATAATAAAATACGAGACACGAAAATAATAAATCAACGAGACCAAAATACCCCTAGCATCGAAATGCCCCGAGCAAACCGAGTGTTAGGGGCATATGGTATAGCATGGTGGCGAGCATGCGCACCAAGCCAAGCCTAGGCTGGCTGTTGCGTGCTAGCGCACCAATGCTAGCGTAGCGTGCTAGCAGCGCTGGTCCAACACGCGCAAGGTGCAAGGCACTCAACAAGCAACACGCATCATTGATGTGCGTTTTGCTTGCCAAGTGCGCAAGCAGGCCGCACAAGCTGTGCTGGGCGTGCTGGCCAGCAGCAGCAAGCAGACCGCACGCTTGTGCTGGCCCTGCTGGCAGCCACACATGGCAGCCCACCTTGGGGTGCCTTGGTTCCCAAGTGTGGTGCCATGTGGAGCATTGTGAGGGGAGGCTTGAAGTATGAGGTGGCCGATTTTTGGAGAGGGAGTGGGGAGCAAGTTTGGTCCCCCCCCCTCCTCCAAATGATCCTCACCTAACCTCTCTCATGAGCTTGCCACTTGTTGATTTATTACTAGTTTGATTATTTATTGTATATTAGCTTTAAAATAAAATGGAAAAATCAAATTTTCCCACATTAATGGGACAACTTTTTCACTCTAAAGTTTTCCCTATAAATACCTAAGTTGGGGTATTGGGAAAATCACTTGAGTGTGAGTTGAAAAAGGCATCACCATTGTGAAAACCTTTGAACTCATTTAATTGCTCGGGTTTTGGTCGGACCTTTCTAACTCCAAGGTAGCGGACCTAAAAAGTTGGTGTTCGTCCTTTGTGGGTGGATATCGTTGGAGGCTCTCGTGTGAGTGGAGCTAAAGCTTTCAAGTAAGAGCCCATTAGGTCGGGCGAAGCACGCGTCAAAGGTAAATTACGATTCTACCCTTTTATTTTCATTTGTTATGCTTTATGGTTTTATTAATTGCGAGTGGTTCTTTGGGTCAGGGTCGTTTCCGTGGGAAGTTGGACTTACCAAACCCCAACAGTAGGAACTAGCTCACCTTGTTTATTTTCAACAACTGTCATACAAGATTTCTTAGGAACAACATGTATTGGACTTGCCCATTTAGAATTAGATATTGGGTAGATTACACCTGCATCAAGCCATTTTAAAATTTCTTTTTTAACAACTTCCATCATAGAGGGATTCAATCGGCATTGAGCCTCCCTAGAAGGTGTAATATTATCCTTAAAAAGAATGCGATGCCTACATAAAGAAGGGCTAATACCTCTAATATCAACAAGATTCCAACCAAAAGCACCCCTAAATTTCTTAAGGACAATCAATAAGCGTTCTTCTTAGGAAGGAGTAATGCATTAGTGATAATAACGTGAAGTGTTTCCCCATCACCCAAGTAAACATATTTTAAATTGTCTGGCAAAGGTTTGAGTTCTAGTTTGGGTGCCTGCACAAGAGATGGAACAAGTTTTTCGTTAGAAAAAGGTATGTCAATAATAAGAGCTTTAGGTTTCAATTGCGGCGAGGAACTGATGCTATTAATAGCACCCATGAGTTCATTGTCTATTAAATTCGTCTCATGTTCCTTAACAGAATTCTTATCCAAGCTTTCTTGAATCAAAAGTTCCAAATCATCTTCCCTGTTTAGTTCAAACATCTTTTGTGCTAGTAAATCAATTGTATCAATGGAACACACAGAATCCACATCAGTAGGATATCTCATGGCATCAAAAATATTAAACATAATAATATCACCATCAAATTCCATAGTTAAGTTCCCTTCATGCACATGAATCATAGTTTTAGAAGTTTTTAAAAAAGGTCTTCCTAATAGTAAAGGAACTTCCCTACGATTAATAGCATGCTCATCTCCCATGTCAAGTATATAAAAATCAGCAGGAAACACCAATTCATTACCTTGTACCAACACATCTTCTACCTACAGGATATGTATTATTTCTATCAGCGAGTTGAATAATTAAACTGGTTTCTTTCAAAGGACCAACATTTAAAGAATCATAAACGGATTTAGGCATGACATTAATGGAAGCACCTAAATCTAACATGGCTCTCTCAAATTTTGTTTCTCCAATTTTGCAAGGGATAGATAACATACCTGGATCTTTGCATTTGGGAGGTAGTTTCTTTTGGATAACTGAAGAAGCGTTCTCCCCCACACTTACCTTTTGAGTTCCTATCAACTTCTTCATGGAAGTACAAAGTTCCTTCAGGAACTTAGCATAGCGAGGAACTTGCTTGATAGCATCCATCAAGGGAATATTGACTTCTACTTTGCGAAAGGTTTCTAAAATTTCCTTATCAGCATCTTCCTTCTTTGATTTTGCTAACTTGCTAGGAAAAGGAATAACAAGAGTATATTTGTAGTTAGCCAAATCGAGAGGGGGATCAAAGGAAATTCCCTTTTTCTTTGGTGCATCATTCTGTGAATCATGCTCCTACCCCTGTTCTTGTTCAAGTTCCTTGGCAGGTTCCACCACTTGCTCCTGTTCTAACTCTCGGTTCACTCTTTCCTTTTTCTTAGGTTCCTCCAATTCGTTTCCATTCCTTAAGGTCACAGCATTGGCACTTTCTTTCGGATTTACAAAGGATTTTGATGGAAGTTTATTGGAATTTTGGGAAGTGGAGCTGTTAACATGAGTGGCTATTTGTCCAATTTGAGTTTCCAAGGTTTTAAGTCTTGCATCAGTTGGCAAAGCTAACTGTCGTACAAGTTCCTCAAGGTTTGAAGAAGAGTTAGACCCTTGGTTATTTGTAGGTTGTTGGACATTATAAGTCCGCCTAAAGTTAGATTGGTTTTGGTTAAAACTTGATGGATTTTCCTTGTTCCCATACCTAAGATTTAGCTGATCTTTCCATCCCCCGTAATAGGTATTAGAAAATGCGTCATATTTCCTTTGTTGAGCTCCAGGAAATCCTCAAACAGCGTTTACTTCATTAACCTCCAATGTTGGGCATGCAACATTATGTTGAGTATTATCATTGAAAATTCCACATACCACAACAACCTGAGTTCCTGAGACAAGATTAGAAACAAGATTAGTAAACTGTGAAATTTGTCTAGAATTTTCAGCAAGAGAAGCCTCTAAATTTTGCACACCAACTTCATTGACTCTCTTAGACACAACATCATTCCTAGTTCCATAACGTTGAGAGTTTTGTGCCATGTTGGAAATCAATTTTGTTGCTTGTTCAGGTGTTTTGTCAACTAAAGCCCCACCACTAGCAGCATCAATCATGTTCATATCATTAGGCAGAAGTCCATCATAAAAGTATTGAATCAACAATTGCTCACTAATTTGGTGTTGTGGACAACTATAACAAAGTCTCCTAAATCGTTCCCAATATTCATATAAAGTCTCATCAGAAGATTGTTGAATTCATCATATTTTCTTTATTATGGATCCTATCATAGATGCGGGTAAAAAGTCCTCTAGGAATTGTTTATGCAATTGTTTCCATGTAGTTATGGATCCAGATTTTAAATGATATAACCAATCCCTAGCATGAATCTAACAAAGTGAATGGAAAAGCCATTAACAAAATATCATCAAATTCCACTCCTTAAGTTCTTTGTGTAGAACAAGTCATGAAAAATGCCTTTGTATGCATCAACGGATCTTCTCCCTTAAGACCATGAAATTTAGGAAGCAAGTTAATAAAACCAGAATTCAATTTAAAGGGTTTTTACCAGGTAGGAAAATCAATGCCAAGAGGTTCTTGTTCGAGATCAGGAGTAGCGAGTTCCTTAATGGTCTGATTAACCAGCGCCATCTCAAAAAGAATCTATCAAGTGCCAAATCAAAATCAATTTTTGCCTCCTTTCTTAACCTGCACAAAGTGCGTTCTATTTCTGGGTCACACTTCAACAAATCAAGATTAGTAGAACAAGTATTGATCATACACTAACAAGGAACTAAATAAAAAGAATGGAACTTAGAATTATAACAGATTACCAAAGAGAACAACTATCCCTGGCAACGACGCCAAAATTTGATGTGTTGTCGAAGTTCACACAAAATTAAACCTTATTCACCTTAACAAATAGCTAGAGCAAGTAAGAGTCGATCTCATGAGGAAAGTAAGTTTAAAGTAACAAGTCACCAGATCCAAGTTCCACAAGTGTAACACGATTTGGGGGGGTGCTGATATGAAAAATATAATCTAAAAAACTAAAGTAATAATATGAAAAGGAGTTATAAATAAAGAGAAAACAATCAATGGGGAAAACACTCGGTTTATAATCAGATTCCAGCCATGGAACTTCGTAAAATCATCGACACATTAATTAACCCTTTAGGAACAACTTGACTTATGGAACAAGCTCCTCTGTTTCCCCTTATTGATGGTTAGATCCAGTACAACTTTCACTAACCCTAACAGGCAAATAACCCCTATACTACGAGCAAGGAATTTAACGTGTTCATAGCATTATGAACTAGGAAAAAATCAAGCCTCGACAACCATGACATTATTGGAACACGGTTTCACCTAGATCATGAGTTACTTTTTAATTAATAGAGTGGAACGTCCTCCTCTACAATTGTCTGCTACTTCATTAGCATTCCCAAGCAATTACAGACTTAATACTATTAATTAGAAATAGAATTCAGACTCAATAGAATAGTTGCGCACCTACTTATAAGAAATCATCATTCATGTGAACAAAATAGCAATTCAAGAATATTCCAAAACATTAATTATTAATCATTAAAACCAAAATAACTTGTCTCAATTACTTATTACATGGCCTCCTCTAACTACTACTAAGCATAAAGAACTACTCACTCATGTTACAGAGCAAAGAAAAAAGGTTTTTGGAGAAAAACATGTCGAGTTCCTCTAGGTGGTTTCTTCAACGTGAACAAAAGGGAGATATGATTAAAGAATGGATGATTAATGGACGACTAACTCTGGGGTTTTAGTAGAATTACTATAGAATCATTCCCCAAGTAAAATTCCTAAAAATATGGAACATAAATCCAAGATAAGGAAAGTAGTTAAATAGAATCTGTGAAATTCTATCTTTTGCCAAATCTTTCCCTAAATGATAAGATATTCTTGTTATCAAATATATCTTCCTTCTAGCTGTAAATATTCAAGAATTATCCTCCAAGTAACCAAATATCACGCTGAAATGAATCTGGACAAATCTCGGGCTGCCAATAAGTTCCTTTGCATCAGCGTCAGTCTTCTAGTTCCTCTGAAGGAACTCAGCATATGTTCATTCGCATTTCACATTGGCTATTTTACTCATTTCATCTTTTCATCATCCAAAATGGCTCAATAACCTATCAAAACACACAATGAGGAAATAAATAAATCACAAAATACCAAAAACTTAGATAAAAGCACAAAAATGCTAAAGGAACGAACCTAAAATCTAAGGAACATGACCATAAAATAGTGTCACAAATGACACTCACCAGTAAAGTTGGTGAAATATTGGGATTCTAAATATATATAAAGGGAAAGTATGTTCAATACTTAACTTACTGTGCATGAAGACGGAAGCTTTCTTCCTGACACAGTCACTGAAGATTTTGTGGTATGGTTTTGTGACATATTTCAGGTATGATTTTGTGCGATTTTTGTGGTATAATTTTGTGCAAATTTTGTGGTAAAATTCTATATAGGATGATGTTAAAGATAAGGTTGAAGAGCTGAGGATGATGCACCCTAAGATGTCTGAACAAGAGCTCAAAGATGAAGCATTTCAGCAAACTATGTATGGCAATGAGATTCCCGATCGTCTTGTGGGTTACGGATTAGGGGTTAAAAAGGGGAACATTTTTGAAGTACATGGTGTGTTAAGGAAGGAAGGTGTAGAGGATATTTCAAGCATTACCCCTAGCTTGAACCCCACTGTGATCATACACTAAAGTAAGGTGTCATCCAAAGTGAAAGAAGATAGAGCAAAAGAGTCGCCAACAAGTTTTAGGAACTCGTAAACCGTTCACAGGGTGAATTTTACACCCCTTAACGATCCAGGAGATCGTCAACTCTATAAGGTCTTGAACCAAATAGGGTTCGGGGATGAAGGTACAAATCCAACCTAAAAGAGATTGAACCTGCCCTAATAATAGGCCTCTACTTTATTCTGATCGTATTCATGTGCACTTTCTGACTAACTTGCAATCAATAGGATTAACCCTAAACCTGTTTATCTATGTTGGTTGAATATTAATGCACAAATAGTTCTATTATTGGTGATCAATTGAATTATAATCATATTAACCCTAACAAGATTATTAATTATCTTATTAAGCGTGATTACAAGTACAAAATTCCCTTTAAACATGCATTAAAGGTGCGATCAAACAATAAATAATAAATATATAGCAACATAATAACAATAAATTATAAATAAAAATAATAATAATGATAAAATAATCATGAATCATGTTAAAGCATAAGAATAGCAAGATCCTATGGTATGATACTATTAAGATTAATAACAAACCCTAGCATGTCACTAAACATCAAAGATTAAATATTTAGCCCTAACATGATACTAACAATCATAAATATTAGGAAGAACCTAAAAGACATCATACTTTTAATCATACTTAATATTAAAGTTACCCTAGACATGATACTAGGAATCATAATAACAACCTAAGCATGATTTCTACATAATAACTACAATGTAAACAATTAAAGCACTTACTTGGATGCCTCGTACCTCTTTCTAATATCGAAATACACGCGTTAGTAACTTCAAGGAAAATAATAAACAAACAATTAAATTAAATAATTGAAAGAGAGATTTGGGACCAAACCCTCAGAAATTAAACCTTTCACGTCTAGCGCGAAGGCAACTTCGAATATGGCTAGGTGTATCTAAGTCTGGCGAATGCGGAATTTTGTATTTGAGAGAATGCTAGTTTAGAAAAGAGAGAGAGAGAGAGAGAGTAATCAAGAGAATCTTGATGAGAGTTGGTGAATGAAAACGGAATTTTTAGAAAGCTATTTCTAAAGAAAATCAGCCAAAAAGATAAAAAATCAAAACAGAGTTCTGGCGCGTAAAACAAGTTAGCGCCAGACGCTGACATTAGCGCCAGGCGCCAAGCTTAGCGTCAGGCGCTAATGCTGGCGTTTGGCGCTGACTAAGTTTTTTACGCGTTTTCTAAAATCAGATACAAATTGACGTACAGGAGGATAAAATCGTATTTTCCTCAAAAACGTTCTTTTATTCAGATTAAAACACTAAAAAGTTAACAAAAGTCAATTTATCAATGCTAATTGAATTTGGAATGAAAAGAACCTTTTAGAAGAATCTAGAAAACTAAAACCATTCCTAATTGCATTAGGAATGATTAATCTATATTAGGCCCTCCTCTAGATCATTAGGCCGCATATAAGGCTCAAACCGGGCCCAGTTCGGTAATTTGGCCATAACTTCCTCAATATTCATCGAAATTGGGCTTATAATATATCGTTGGAAAGCTCTTTTCAAGCCCTTTCCAACTACACTACTTTTGGACCCATATCATGGACCAACCAAACTGGTTTAGCTGTTTTCTTAAAATAGGTTTTCAAAAACAGAGAGAAGAGAAAAGAAATTAAAACTATCAGCAACACTAAATTTCCACACTTTCACTTCATTCGATTATGATTCGACGTGAAAGGTACTCATCACTGGGTTTGGTTTTGGGGAGTCACAAATGGATGTCTACAGAAGCCCCCACTTTGAATGAGTTTAGAGAAACGCAAGTTTCGAAAACAAAAGTCAAAGTATCGATAGGGACAAAGAATGATTCAGAACGTTCTGCAATCCTAAATCACTCTTGTAACGCCGATAGCTGCAACCTAGCCTTACTTAAACAGATAAAAGATTTAAGAAAAGCGTATCATGCACCGTCGAGCACACATCTTTAAAAGAAACCGATTTGCCGCTGTTTTACTGTATTGACAACCTCCTGCAAGGTAGAGAATGTCATCCCGCTTGAAGACTGCTACGCTTGTAGCTGCCTCCAATTCTGCCTTGATAATCTTCCACAAGCCAGGGAACACTATCGAAGATTGCTTCGCTTGAAACGATCCTCTTCTGCTTTGTGACCATCTTCCACATCTTAGGGAACACGATCGATGACAACTTTGCTTGAAATCACCTTCAGTTGTTTGTGACAACACTCTGCAAGCTAGGGAATGCTGCCAAAGATATCCTCGCTTGAAGCTATCGTCATTTGTTGCGATAATACTCCAAAGTAAATTACCGAAGACCTCCGCTTGTCGATCTTTTAAAAGCTCGCTTGAACTTTGCTTCCGCTACGCCTATATGTCGGCGCTTTTGCTGCTTTGAACTTGTATGTCGGTGCCTTTTGCTGAATTATGAACTAGCATGTCAGTGCCTTTCGCGATGAGCCAATGCTTAGGCGCTTTAAGCTAAGTGAGACGATCTTTCATCAGGTCGATCACTTTATGTAATCAAGCCGATTACTAAAAATCGTGTCAAATTTCTTATAGGGGCTAACTGGTGTACCAAGGAACCCAAAATATACTACATAAGGTTGTAACAACTGTACGGAGTGGCTGAACATTCTGGCGCCGCTGAAATAACATCAGCGTCGATTATCTGGATGTAGCGCCAGACGCTGGAGCTAACGCCAGGCGCTAAACCCTATCGACTGACGCCAAGATTTGACGCGTGGAGTTAGAATCGAGTTTTCCTTAAATATCCTTCTCTTCTTCATTTCCGTTGCTGCTGCTCGTGTTTCTTGCTCAAGAATTCTTAGAACTTTAATTGATCCGTCCTTGCTCGTTTCTCAACC